TATTCCAAAAATATTTTGGTTTGTATATATATAATTAAGAAAATTTTAAAATTATATTCATTGTTTTTTTTCCAGGTATGGTGAAGTTGACAATTATAATGTATTAGTAATGGAAAAATTAGGTCCAAGTATTGAAGATCTTTTATGTTATTGTCGTCGATCATTTTCACTTAAAACTGTTCTTTTACTTGCTGAACAAATGCTTAGACGGTATAGATAGTTTTTATCTTTTTTTCTAATAGATTTCATCTAGTTTGCAACATATACATTCACGTACTTTTCTTCATCGTGAGTAAGTTAAATCTGTACAGAAGTTATTTTTTCTATTATATAATATAATTAAAAAAAACTGAAAATTTAGTTTAAAACCTGATAATTTTTTAATGGGAGTTTTTACTTGGTCACATCGTTTGTATTTAATTGATTTTGGCCTTTCAAAACGATATATTGATGCTAAAACACGACGACATATTATCTATCGAGAAGGCAAAGGTCTTACTGGTACACCACGTTATGCTTCAATTAATTCTCATCTTGGAAAAGAACAATCACGTCGTGATGATCTTGAAGCACTTGGTTATGTTCTTGTCTATCTTTACGAAGGACGTTAGTAACAATTTTGTATATCACAAAAAAAATTATGTTCATATTTATTTTACAAGGTTTACCATGGCAAGGTCTAAAAGCAGTAGCTAAATCAGCTAAATACGAAAAAATATGTGAACGAAAACTTCATACACCACTTGAATCACTTTGTATGAATATGCCGAATGAATTTTCGCAATATTTACAATATTGTCGTAAACTTGAATTTACTGATGAACCAAATTATCAGTATTTATTAGAATTATTTGATGATCTTTTTGTACGACATGGTTTTGTACGTGATTATATCTATGATTGGAATCTTATTCGATTTCGACATGAATCAAAAGCAATATCAATAAATAATGAATCTCTACCAATGATTAATAATAATACAATTGAACAAGCTATAACTTTAACTAATAAACGATCAAAATCTCTTACACCTGTTATTGCTACTAATCGATATTCAACTCCACGTGAACAATTTGTTGATAATTAAGTTTTTTTCTTGTATTTGAACTTAATAAAGGGGGTGATCCAAAAATGATGAATTTTTCCACCCTCTAGAAATGTCATATTATGACAGTCCTGATCACCCAGAT